AAGTCTGTAAAGCAACATCCAAGTGTTCCTTGTGATTAATATTCCTTATGATCTCCAGCCACCTAATCGCATCCTGACCTCCATGAGGGTCAACTGTGAGAAGGGATGGGCTGTGGAAGCAGGGTGGGCTACCAGGAGGTGCTGGTGAATGATGGAGCAGCTGGAGAGAACAAGAGGACCTCTGCAGACATGAATAAATAAATAGTAGCAAACCAAATGCACTGACCTCAGGAATAATGCCACGGGTCCAGTGCAGCACAGAGCTATTGAAAGAAGCAGGGCAATCTGTTCCTAACCTCCAGATGCACTGACTGTAGGATATGCTCTTTTATTTCAATTTAGCCCAAAAAACTACAGCATGAAATGCAGCACTATCCTGAGACAGAGAACACTATCTCTGAAGGGATCCCCAGGATGCATTAACCAGTGCTTGGCCTGCCCAATATGCTGAATAACAGAGGACAGATATTCTGCACTGCACAGTAATTCACACATTCTGAAATGTAACAACAGTAGTAACCTTTCCTATGTTGTTGGTTTTTCCTTTTTTCCCCGAGGAATTAGGTGCATTCCTGCATATCTAATAGCCTGTCCCATAAGACAGTCCATCTCCCATCCAGACAAGCTTTGTAGGCACCACTGGTTGGGCTGGTGGGCCAGTAGATGTAGGTCTGTGCACACAGACTGTCACATGATATTGATGAGGCCAGCTGGATCAAATATATACACTGCCAATTTATTTTGCAGCATAGGGTTTCTCTGAATAGAGAAAGGTATGGTAACCTGGAACCATGCAGACCTCCAAACCAACAGTTTACCCAATGCATCTAAAATCCTTACCATGGCTCTAAGATTTTTTTTCAACGGGACACCTTTAACTGCTTATAAGCAAATTAATTTCCAATCTGTTCTATTTCCTCTTCTTAATCTTAATCTCAGAATATGCTTTCAGACATTAAAACGTTCAAGTTGAAGAAAATGGGCCCAGGCATCAAAATTGGCAATAGTTCCACACACAAAAAAAATCTGGAAATCTGAACGAGTGTACTATACTACACACATTTTTTGTTTCACCTTGAAGGAAATAAAAAGGCTCTAATTCAGAAAAAAAGATGCTCTATTTCCATTTTTCATTTATGCAAATTACACTCTGAATAAATAAATCTACATAATCCACCTTCCTGCTAGACAACTTGCAGTAACATTTGCCAAGAGAAAGACAGGCTTTTCTGATACTAATGCATAAAACATGCTGAATAAAAAAATTAAAACAAATCATATTGAGTAAATAGCTGCTGTGTAGCTCTGGAAAGAATAATAGAGGCACTGATGAGTTATTCAGGATTGTCTTGTTCAATTATTTCAAACATGCTACCAGTTAAGGGTATATTGAAGTTAAGGTTTCAATAAAGACAGTCATCTCAAACCACTGAAATCTATAGGAATTTTTTTCCTTTAATTTCCATCAAACAGGCATGTTGATCTTTCTGCTGAAGCACCCAATAGTGTCACTTTGTTGGTCCTGGAAAACCAACCTATTTAGCATGCAGCTGATGTGCTGTGCAGGGGCTGCAGCCCCAAGAAAGTAGATCTCTTTCGCTGTTTCAGGAATGTAGGAGGTGCCTTCCCTAATCTGATCAAAAGTGATCTTTGCTCTGTGTGTTCTCTGTCCATGTGAGATACAGGCTTGGTGACTGCAGAGGTTGCCATCAGTCTTGAGACTGCCACAGAGGAAGAACAAAACATAAATCAGTGGCATTATGCTCCTTATTGGTGTCCATGGCCTTCCCCCACTGTGATTGCATAGGGTAGATGCTGAAAGGTAATTCTTATTCTCTATGGTCCATCCAGAAACTGTAAAACTCTGATTGTACTTGGTGCTTGGACACTCTCCTCTAAAGTGTCAAGTATCTTTCCACATTGGATAATGTACTCTGGACAGCTGAATCCTTATGCTCTTTTCTCTAAAGAATTAAGACTCTTCCATGAGACTGGGTCCACCAGAAGGCTTGAGTATTATAAACTGCATCACTACATTTTTACATACTGTGATGCTTCATGGAATTCAAAGATATCTTTTCTTGGTGGAGAAATGTAAGTTCCTTACATGCTTTCTGGGGGCAGTGAAGTGTGGGGTATACAAAGCCTAAAGACTGAGTAGGAAGCTACCTAAGAAGGCAAGTAAGAAACCTTAAGAAAATATGATTTAATACTCTGCCTCTGCTAAGAAATCAGAGTCACAACACTGGCACTAAAACCAGTGTTTTCTAACAACTACCAACTACCTGCAGGAGAATAAATTCTTTCTATTTGTTTACTGTACAGTCTGGTTGTTAAGAGCATACATCTGGGATATGGTATGTCAAACCCCTCCACCAGCTGCCAGGAGAGTTTCTCCTTGGTAGGGTATTTGGTGTTGCAGACTGAGTTATTTACTTGTCAAGTCTGCTCCACCATGAGTGAAAACACCTGAATATACTTTGGAAGAGAGAAAAAGTCTGATCTCCAAATAGCCAGCGAACAGCCTTGTGGCTGTGGCATTTGGCACTGACACCAGGTCAAATCCAACTTGCACACAGTGGAAATCTGAAGGCAAGCCTGTTACTTTGCCCACCTGGAACTTCTTCCTGCAAGGTCTAGTAGGCTGGCTTGGAGAATGATTTGCACATCAGCTCCTTCAGGCAATATAGGATGGGCTTACCTTAATGAGAGAAACACAGCATGGCAGATACCTATGCCCTTGGGGACCTTCCTAGCAGACAGTTAAAGGGTTTGGTGAAGTGAGCTCTGAATCCATGTATTCATAGGCTAAAAAGGCTAGATAAGTTAATAAAATTCCAGGCTCCCAAAACCTGTCTTATTGGATTTAAAGCAATGGATATAGAGCTTTTATTTTTAAAACCATTATTTTAAAGCAATCTTACAGGTGAAATAAGTAAATCTGGAACACATTTTGTTCATATTTTCAAGCTAACTTCTGATTGCTTAGACCAGAAACTTATTTTTCTGCTCTTCAAAAAGGAGCTAAGCTCTTTATTTAATGACAAAACTCCAGAAACCACAAAATAAAAAGAACCATCAAAATTTTTGAGATTTGTAATAAAAGGAGGAGAATTTGACACTGTAGATTTTTTGGTGGTAACATAAGACTAAATTTGTCTTACTGGTGATATGGGAATGCTCGGCTCCAGAGATGGGAAATGCAAAGGAGGCCTCAGACCTGAGACTAACTCCGGTCAATCTCTACATCAGTAAGACACTCTTTGGAAGTCCTTGTTTCACTGTGCAGTGGCTGGCTTTATGCCCTTGGGAAGTATAGATTCTTCTTTCTATTTGCACTCCAGAGTTTCCTAACCAGCAGCTTGGCAAAGAAGGAAGAGAAAAAGGGTGTGGAAAGGACTGATGTATCTTTTCTTTACAGCAGATATGTAGGGAAAGTCTTCAAAACAAAATTAAGCTGCTTCCTGCTTCAGTGGTACTTGAAAATAGTTGTCCATAAGAGTTTCAAAGTTACATTTTTTTCTTGGATAATTTAGGTGCACATCTCAGTATTTCCCTGTGTGCTCCAAACTCCATAGCTCAGTTTAGTTCTAGGTTAGGCAAAAACAAGAGGGTTTGAATATGGGCCTTAGTGACTGCATGATCAGGGATCTTTGCAAGCTGTTGATATGACAGACCCCTATTCACTTTATGACTTTATCTTGTACTCTCTTAGAGCAATATATCTATTATTCCAAAGTGCACGTCTTGCTAAAAATCCCAGCTAAGTTATAACTAGATTCCACATACTCATTTATTAAACCAGAGCTTTCATAATTTTCACAGTCATCACTGTCAGCCAATCCTTCTGCCACAAAAACCCTAAAACATGACCGCTTGATTAGACCTTTAACCTGGCAGAAGGGCTCATTTCCCACCTCGCCTTAATTGTGGCTGCATGCCAGAACGCATTACACTGGGTTGGAACTCAACAATATATGAATTCCCACACCAGTGTTTTGTTCACTGTTTTTCTGACTTTAAATCTAGGATACAGTACAACCCAGCTGTGCAAACCTTGTGAATCAGCTTATCACAGAGCAAGGGGAAAAAAACCCCAGCCCCTCCACCAAACCAGCAGTACTGTTGTGATTGCTGGGAGAGAAGTTATAGGAGCCTCCACGTGCACAAACTTGTTCGGGCTAGTGAGCACTGAACTTTGCCTTTGCTGAAATAATCAACAGGATCTAGATTTAAGTTAAATGAACACACTTTGGAATAATAAAAAACAATAGCATTTCTATTTCTCATGTAACATCCTAAACTCTGAATAGTTTAGCCATAATCTCCCTTTCAAGCTGCTTCCTTGTTTCTCAGATGTGATGGACACGGAATTTCAAAGATAGTAAATAAGTTTTCACAGAATCAGAATCAATTAGGCCAGAAAAGATGTCTCAGATGCTCGAGTCCAACCTATGACCCAACACCACCACGTCAACCAGACCACGGCACCAAGTGCCACATCCAGTCTTTCCTCAAATGGTGACACCACCACCTTGCCGTGCACCCCATTCCAATGTCTAACCATCCCTTCTGTAAAGAAATTCCTCCTGATGTCCAACCAAAACCTCCCCTGGTGTTTTGAAACACTATTAAAAGGCCAGAAGCGGGACAGAAACCCGACCAACAGCAGGAGTCCCAGTTTAAGGACAGGAAGCTGACGTTTGATAGGTTTTGCCTGAACACAAATCAACAGTGAAAGAACGTGAAGAGAAGGGGCGCGCTCGGCCTGGGGAGTCTGGTGTGACGTTGCAGGGGAGGATTTGTCTCGCCCACAGCACCGAACACACAACCACGGCTCACAGCCGGGCCGGCCGCACAGGGGCCCTGAGCGACGGGACGGGGCGGGCAGGGCGCAGGCGCGGGCCGGGCCCGGCAGCGGCGCAGGCGCGGCCGGCGGATCGCAGCGGGCGGGGCGGCGGGAGCGCGGCGGGCCCAGCATGTCGGAGAAGAAGCAGCCGGTGGACCTGGGGCTCCTGGAGGAGGACGACGAGTTCGAGGAGTTCCCCGCCGAAGGTGCCGGGCGGGACGGGACGGGGCGGGGCGGGTTGGGACGGGACGGGGCGGGACGGGACGGCAGGCGGTGGCGGCGGCGGTGCCGCCCGCGGGCCGCGGCCTGGTCCGGGCAGGCCGCTGCGGGTCCGGGGCGCTGTGCCCGGGGTGCTCTGTGTGCTGGGCCGGCCCGCGCTGTCCTCGGCCGCTGTCCTGGGCCGCTGTCCTGGGCCGCTGTCCTGGGCCGCTGTCCTGGGCCGCTGTCCTGGGCCGCTGTCCTGGGCTGCCGTCCCGGGCCGCTGTCCTGGGCCGCCGTCCCGGGCCGCTGTCCTGGGCTGCCGTCCCGGGCCGCTGTCCTGGGCTGCCGTCCCGGGCCGCTGTCCTGGGCTGCCGTCCCGGGCCGCTGTCCTGGGCTGCCGTCCCGGGCTGCCGTCCCGGGCCGCTGTCCTGGGCTGCCGCCCCGCTTCAGCCCGCGGGTCCCTGCCCAGCCCCCGCCCCGGTCCGGGGCTGCAGCCCCGTCAGAGCCGCGGTCGAGCGCGGTCGTGGTGCCCGCGCCCGGCTCTGTGTGGTGTCACGGCGCTGGGCACATCGCCCTGGAAGTGCTGTGTCATTGTGCCAGGACCTGCGGACACAGTGCGTGAGAAACTTGTCGCCTCTCGGCACCGGAGATGAGAATCCTCAGGGGAGAGGAGGGATGAGCGCTGGAAACTTGAGTGTGAGGTGGAAACGAACGGGAAAAGGAAATGATGTGCTCCGTAGTTACTCTGAAAATCTTTACCTTTTGAAGCACCGATATTTATGTGTTGGTTTGCTTTTCGTAGGTGCAAATATACTGAATAAGGAAGTTGAATTCAGTAAAACAACTCACTGTCCCTTTACAGAGATAATCTGGGAAACATCCCTATTAGGGCGTGTTTGTTTTCTATGTCCTTAATTCTGGGAGTTGTCTCAAGCTGTGGATAATGACAAATTATATCTAGCATGATGGATGAAAAGTCAGGGACCGTTTTCTTTAATATCTTCATTACATGTGGTTTTTCTGTAGCCTTGGATATCCTAAGTCCTTCAGTACTGGTAAAAATTGTATTTCTCCACTTGTTGACTGAAAAAGTTAATAACCTAAGTGAAATAATAGCTGAAGTAGACTTTGAAGAGGATCTCTTCTTTTTCATATGTATTTCCTAAACAGGAAGAAAAATGTTTATCTTAATGTAAGTTAAGTATTCCCATTAGGGGAAGTCTCTGAACCTTCTGGACCTTAGATTGGTCAGAGCACTGAACTGCTGTTACAGAAGGTGAAATTAATTCTATTTGAATCAAACTGTGCTGCTAAAACAAAGTACTATGCAGGCTTTCTGGGTAGCACAGAGATTTTAATAGGAGTGGCCACCAGCAAGGCTTCTTCTTGTTCCGTCTTGCAGAAAATAAGAACCTCTAAAGAGGCCCGTTTGAATCTTGAAGTGAGGTCATAGTTTTGGGGTGTTATAAGGAGTGTTCAAACCACTTTGACTGTTACCTGCAGTGCTTAAGAGAGAGCCATGATAACTGTGTGCTCAGACCCATCCCACACTGTTGTTCTTTCAAGTTAAAACACCACTTTCTGTGCCACAGAAGAAACTTTGTGTTCTATTACCCAGGTTTTAACCAAAGGAAATTAGATAATGCAAAGCTGTGTTAAGGGATGAAAACACTGGCTCCTGGGGTTTATTCCAACTTAAAATTTTTCTTAAAGCAATTTATCAAATCAAGTTTATGTATCAAAAGCAGACATATCCCATTTTTATAGGACACTGAAGTGTAGCATTAGTATGGTAGATTAAAGTGTATGGGAATCAATCACCTAAGAATTTTATGTACATTGCATTTCAGAGTATAAAATGTAATGTGTAAAATAATACAGGAGAGGATTAAAAAAACCCCAATTGAATCCTAAAAAGTGTTTTTTGTTTCCCAAGTGCAAAATTAGGACAGTCAATGATCAGTATATTAAAATACATTCCTAAGAAGTCCAGCCATGACAGAATTAGTGTGTATTAGTAATTAGATGTGTATTAGTAATACTTACAGGTAGTAGGCTTTCAAATGCTCTTAATACTTTCAATCCCCAATAATGCTCCATTATTTTTTAACTTTTATTCAGTCACAGGCATATAATGTAGCTGGGAGTGATAACTGTATCATGCAATTGTGGAGTGTAGTATCAACATACAGATGCTGTAGAATCTTGTAGCTACAGTGATGAGAATGTAATTCCGGCTTTATTTTCCCACTCTTCCCCTCCTTCAGTGTGGAAGATCACATGGGCCTTTTGACTCCTCCTCACTCAGCGTGATTTGGAGCATGTTTTCACAGTCTGCCCAGCTGACCTTTTATGATTGAAGCTGCTGTTTGTTGTGCTGGATACAAGTTACTAGCAGATTTATTTTTTCCAAGCTTGTAGTTTTGCCTGAGGTACTTGTATGTTTGCAGATAGAAAAGTATGACTTCATAATTTTAAACTGGTTTGAGCCTTCTTTTATTTTATCCTTGAAACCTGGATAAATAATGGGTAAAGCTTTTTTATTAAAAAAAAAAAATCAATTTTATATAAATAGGCAAAGCTTATTGCAGGTGGTTCTAAATTATAAGTCCTTCCCTTTGAGCAATTAGCAACACAACTAAATTCAAATAATGCAGTTTTTTAATCTGCATTTTCCCTTCACCATTTCTTCCCAGATTTTTTTTTTCTTTTACTCTTATAGCAGGATTTTTATGGTCCTTCGTCTTTTCTCATTATATAATTTATATGAGTAGGGAAGTTTAATTGTAATGCCTTTTATACGTGCGTCTTTAATCAGTTACAAATGGATTTTTGTGTCCTGGTGAATCTCAAATATTAATTTTGTTGCCTGTCAGTGTTAAGAAAAAGAGGTGAATATGCAAAGACCAGGCTTAATTCTTAGAAAGTTAGCTGTTCGTAGGGAATTAGTTTTTAATCTTTTACCGCATTAGCTTCCCTTTCCCCATATCTCCATCAGTGTTTAATGTTACCTTAGGCCTTAGTCCTCAAAGTGTTCTGTAGAAGGGCAGCAAATGGCTCACTGAACTGTAAGGGGAAGAACTCTACAAATACACTAACAGACTTTGAGAAATACAAGTGGCAGAATTAGGGGCTTCTTTTGTCTTGGTAACGTTTGAAAAGCTTGGTGTCATTCAGTAGGGGAAAACTGAGAAACTCAAAAAAATTGAATTAAGCCCACTTGTGTTTTCGTGGTGATTCCGAGCTTTTAATTTTCATCATTTTTCTAAACTCGTTTGATCATAATTTTTTAAAATAACGATGCATTAAGTGGGCAATAAGTAATTTGTCAAGAATGACATGCCAGATTACTTTTTTATAGGAAAAATAGAAATAAGGTTAGCAAATGGGCATTTAGTGCCTTGCCTCTGTAAGGGAACAGCTTCTGCTATCTTGGGAACCCAGAAATAGCTGGTTATGGGTATCAACTCTGTTTGCAGATGCCTGTTTCAATTTGCCTTTACTTCTGCATCATGGAGAAGTTTTTGGCATTTATCCATAGACTGACTGCATCTGATCTGAGTGAATGGAGGATGTGTGCCTCTGTTTTGGCAAAAGCATCTGAGGCATATTTACTTTTTAATTCTGAAAAAACTATTTAAATACAAACTGGAATCTCACACCTTTTGTTGAGCTTTTAGGAGTCAAGTATTCAATGTTGCTTTCTTTTTACAACAGTGTTACAGTTTGTCCATTTGTATGAAAAATGTCTTTTATGAATGTGTAATCCTGCAAACCATGATGTGAAGTCTGTAATGATTTTTTTTAAACCAAGTTTCACTTTGATTCAAGAAATCGCGAGGCATGTTTTAGATCTTTCTGTCTCATAAACACTTGAATATGATCCAGACTTCTCTGTTGAACTTAACAGAAATCTGCCTTACCCAGAGGCTGAGCTAATCTGTCGGTAACACACGGTATTAAAGCAAGGCAGCATACAATAAATAGACCTCCTTTTCTGTCTTTAGATTGGACTGGTTTAGATGAAGATGAAGATGCACATGTCTGGGAAGACAATTGGGATGATGACAATGTAGAAGATGATTTCTCCAATCAGTTAAGGTAATTTTTTTTAACTTACTATTCTAGAAGGTGGGTAAAATGTTTAAAATGGCAATGATTGGTTAATATTTGAAAGTTTGAAATCTACTTAATTTAAAAAAATAGAGATCTGAAATGGAAATAAGTGAAAGCTCTACTTTCTGCTTTTCTATTTAAAACCTTTCAGAACCAAACTTAGGGATTACAGCACTCTGAAGTACTGATCAGCATTTCATCTTTTAATAATTCTAGTGAACCTTGAAATATACCTTATGATATTGGGGGGACAGACTTTGTTACACAGCTTAAACAGTGCAGAGATCTCTGCAAGCTGCAACACAGTTCACACTTTCTCAATTTACCATTAGATCCTTTTCTTTGACTTTCCTGCATATATGTGAAAGTTCTGAATTGTGCTGCAAGGATTAATGGCAAGACCTCCAAGATTATCTCTTCTGTACTATGTGGTGTGCAGAGTTTTTTGTCTGTACTTTCAAATAGCACTGCTGTTCTTTGTCCAAATGGACAAATTTTCCAGAGATCAGTGATCTGTAATAATGTTAAGGTTCTCTTCTGTGGTATGAGCATGCTGTTTATGAGCAACAACAGCAAAGTAATTGTTAATTACATGCTTTTAAAAAAGCGATAGCAATTTGGGTACCTCTAAACCAGTTGCTTAATCCTCTTTGTCACTTGTTTCAGTAATCCTTTACTGATGCATAATTAGAACTTAAATTGTTTCAAGCATCAGAACAAAGCCAGATTTTATAATTAATCCCTCAGTATGTTGCATGAGGAGCAAACTGTCTGTAACACAGCCTCCTCAAACAGTTTCTGGGTTGATCTCCCTTGTTGTACCTCAGCAAAAGCAATTATTTTTGTATCTTCTACATAAAAGATCTTTGGTAGAGTTTTTTCTTATGACGTTGAAAGACAGTTAAGCTGTAATATTGGAAAACAGGTTGATATGTAATGAAACAGACTTTCAAGAGATATTATAATTCTTGATAAACATAGTTGATCTAGACAAATCTTCCCTAACTGGCCTTAATTGTAGCCTGTAGTATTGGTGACTGTATGCTGGTTTGCAATACTGCTTGGTTACAACACTGTTTTATTTCATTTCTAGAAAGCAAATACTGCAGTCCTCCATTGTTAAGATTCCACTACTAATTACATAAGCTAACCTGAAATATTTTTAGTGATTTGGAGTTCTGTATCTAGAGACACATATGCTAAGATGAGGAGATGAAACAGAGTACAGCAGAGTGGGGACAGGCCAGGAGCGATAACAATTAGAGTTGCTGACTTCTTGTCCTGGCCACAGCTAAGGGCAACAGAGCAGTCCTTTCCCTCAGAATTGTTCACTGCAAGGTGTATATCAGCAAAACATAAATAAAACTACCAGAGTGCACTATTTTTAAAACAAAGAAAAACTTAAAATTGTCTTGGAAGCACATGCATTTAAATCACTCAGAATTGTTTGGTTTAAGGAAATTTTGAGATTAACTGTATAAGATAATATTTTAGTTTTTCTAGTGTGTGTGTTGTTGCAGGCTCATGGGTGCTGCTTTGTGTCAGAGGGCAATAACTATGATTCTATGATTAAAATAAATATTTGAATTTTTCACTGAGAAGTCTCTTCTAGTGATCTGAGATCTAAGCTGAAGTTCAAGAACTACAGAGTTAGTGAAGTCAGGGTTACTGGTGTGAATCAAAAATCAGTATGACACTGATATTCCAAAATGATCATATATTGTATGGTGCATGTAGTTTTTTAAAAAATCAAACAGTTAACAGGATTATATCTATGTGTTTCAGTATATCTATCTCTTCTATACAGAGCTGAACTAGAAAAACATGGATACAAGATGGAAACATCATAGTTTTTCAGAACATGGAGTGGCTTGACATGGAACTGTGGATAGACTATATTAAGAGAGGAAGAAAATGTGGAAAATGAGAAGACACACCTAGTTCATTATCTGCTTGGATTTATTATTGTTTTGTATAAAAAATAAAGTTTTTAAACTTAGCCTCGTCATACATTCAGCCGCTGCTCACCTGGTACCTTGTATTTTGGTTCTGAAATGCCTTGTGTGATGGAATTCATGGACTTGCCTTGAATGCCACTAATGATCTGTCAGTGGCTGATGATCTTGCACCAGCTCCTATCATGGGGAGCTAAATACGTGTAACCAGAACGAAGACTAGTGAACATTTCTGTTGCAGGGAATGTGGAGGTGTCAAAAAGAAATAAAATACTGGTGTATTCCAATTAAACTGTGGTAGAGATAGAAAGCAGTTTTAGGGAGTGATTAAGCTTGTTTTGCATCAACACTTTATTTCATAATTACTTGGGTATCTTTGTTAGTAATTTCATGTGGGTGCTGGTTTGATAGACTCAGAAGATAAAACCTGCTTTAAAGTGTCCTGTAACAGCAGAAACCCAAACTCTCCAATCTGGTCCAATCATTTCTCAGGCCTGTTAACAAGGACACCTCTCTGGAGGTGGAAGAAGTTTAAGCCTAGGAGTCTCTGCTGAAATTGCCTTCAATTTGCCAGTTACAGCAATTTATCTGTATCACACAAACAGGCCTGCTGAAAACAGAAATCAAACTTCCAGCTTGTTTCACATAAGCGAGCAGATAGTTGTGAGATAGATATGGCAGTAGTGACTGGATTTGATTACTCTCTGAACTAGAAAACAGAAGGTGAAAATTGCAAAACCTATGACCACTTCCATGAATCTTCCCCAAAGGAGCTGTTCAAGCTGGTGTGTGTAAAGACAGAGGGAGATGTAGGCATGACTTCAGATTTATTTTTTTTTTTAAATAAAGAGGCAACTAGAGTTACATACTTATGGAATTTGAATTAGCTGCTTGCTTTTTCAGCAGTTCACTAGAGAAGCAGAGACTTAATTATTATTTATAGTGAGCTTTCAAAATAAAGGTATTAGTTGATGGACATGCAGTTATGGTATTAAATGCTCTAACCTTGTTAGCTAAATAACTGAGTCTCTTAAGTTATAATGGCATTTATTAATGCCAAATGCTAGGAAGTTCCCTTCCCCCACACTATTAGGTGGTGCTATATTGTAGCAGAGGCAAGATTCATTGTGACCCTTACTGCTTTCTAAAGATAATTCTGTAAAGACTGAGACCTTCCATTGCTATCTGAATGGCTCTGCAAAACTAGATGTTTCAGATGGTTTTGGATGTTGTCAGTCTGTCCAGTTCTGTGCTGCTTGGGAATAGAAAGGGAGGCCCTTTCAAGTAGGCTTGCCCTAGGGTCATTGAAGTTGTTCACATTGAAATGTATGTCTCGTGCAACCCAACTCAGTAGAATACCCAGTCCTTGAGTTCCTATTTTGACAAGTAGGAAATGAAAAGTCTGTCTATTGAGTGGCAAATAGCAACACAAACATCCTCAGGTTAGTGTTGGGAGTTTAAGAACAGAGTATGTTGAGTACAGTTCTGGGATTGCTGGTGTTATTAATGCATGGATACTGGGAAGTTGAGTAATGTGACTGACCAAAAGAAGACGACAAAATAATTATGGAGATGTCTGGTGCAATCTGGAGAGGGACAGCTGCTTTCCATTACAGGATTTTGGAAACCTGACTAAAGCAGCCCTGTTGCATCAATTGCTAGCAGCTGGAGGAAGCCATGGAGGTGGAAAAGCATCTTTGCCTCAAGAAATCTTTGTTTTTGCTGAGCTACAGTTGCATTGGTATCTTTTTCCACTTTTTTCACAAAAGCAGAATTGGAAGGAAAGCCTAGGCTGAGGTAGCCTGGTGGCTCTGCACTCTTGTAGTAACAACCTTCAGCTGGTGGGTTATGTTCTGAAACCTGGTGTTCTAGAAGGAAGTTGAGGTGGTTGGCCAGGATGTCACTGTAGCAATTCACCCTAATGTACCTGCTGTTCAGCCCTAGAAGGATCTAATCTTCCCATATGAGAAGAGCTTACTTGAGTTTTTTAGACTGGCCATTTGAAGGTGTTCCAGTGATCCCTATTAGCAGAGGAATGCATGAAGTGTGGGAGATAAGAATGCTTTGGGGTTGTGAGGGAGGACAGAGATTTGGGAAGGAAGATCTGCAGCCTGGCAAGGGTGGGAATGTGGTGAAGAAAGAGAAATTTGGCAAAGATCTGAGTGAAGAAGTAGGACATGTGGGGGTGTGTACATGGCGATGGCTGGGCGTGGGCTGCTGGGTAGTCTCCTTCCCTGTTTTGGGAAGCAGATTTAGGTTGATGTCACCATGTGTTTGGGGACCTGTCCTCCTCTCAGCCAAGCAGTGGGACTCTTGGCCAATATCTGTAGTCTGAGCCATGCTGGGATATGTGGCACATGTCTACAGCTCTCCTCTACGTGAAGGAGGGGGTGTTTTGCAGTGTAGGGAAAGTTGACTTGCTCTGACCTAGATGCTGAGGATGTCTCAAGGCAAAGCACTGTTCCACTAATTTGGAGGAAAGCTCTGGAAGGTTCCTCATTGCCAATGAGTTTGACGCTTTTGCTCTGCCTTGGTCCTTGAGAAACCACACACACATAAGAAGAAATGCATAGTCACAGATAAGCACAGAAAACAGTGAGCAGTCCAAAGTAAGGCCTGTCTGGAAAGCCTTCAGTTGAGCTCTTTTGTTTCACAATAACCTTCTTTGGCCCTCCCTCTCTGCTAGCTTGCACAACAGCACCGACAGCTTCCCCACATAGTTCTGCTCTTGGGTCACAGTGTGTCCTGTTCCCCACTTCCTGCACTGTGTCCACACTGTGCTGTACAGAACGAGTAAGTGTGGGTCTCCATACTGCAGCAGTCCGTGTGTTTGCAAATGCAAATACATTTTCCACCATCCCTTGAAGAGGGAAAAGTGTTTTCCCCTTTTGTAGTGTATAGTAATTTTAAGTGCTTGGTGTGAGACCCCAGGACCTCATCTTTCACTGGGTTTGGTATTATGTGAAATGCTCTGCACATTCAAATGTTTCTTTAGCTTTGGTTACTGTTGTGCATATTCAGCATTTCTAAGGATCAGGATTTATGGGGTACCAAGTCAGCCACCCAGAAAACGAAGAACATACATTATAAGATTTGCAGCTTCTGTAAAGAATGAGGCAAGGACTCCACAAGTGGATACTTTTCCCTGCTAGCTTTTTCTTGAACCTTATTTTTTCTTATCCTGTTTTTTCTTGAACACTAATAAGGATTAATAAGTCCCCTGAGGGAGAGGGTGCATATAGGAAAATAATGATCATAAAATTAAAGACTATGAGAATACATATGTATGGAAAAAGGAATTTATATTGCACAGAGTTACAGTTCCAGCATTTCTTATCTTTTGACTGTCTGACTTTACAGCCCTAATAATAATCTTGTAATGCAGGTATGATTTTGTGTTTGCATAATGATACAGCTAAATTTGATTTAATTTCAAGGCATGCAGGGAAGTAAGAAGATTGATGCCCAGAAAGTTTTTGTGATGGAATTTTACTAAAGAATAAATGTTATGTAACATTTCAAACACAGTGAGATCCTTCAAGATGAAGTGTGTGATATAAATGTAAAATATTTGCAAACTATAATTTAGCAACCATTTTAAAATCACAGTCAGTATTCCAACCTCTTACATGTGGCATGTGAGATCCTTTGTCAACTGAGAACTAAGGGCAGTGAATGTGAGATTCATTAAGTAATTATATAGGAACATTAATTTCAAATTAATTTCAACAGTTGTTTTAGACATTAGCAACCAAATTAGAGGACCAAAGGCAAACAGTAATGCAGCTTAATACTTTTAATAAATGAAGGCATTTGTAGTGATTTACATAAATCGGATGATAAGTCCTCATTTAATGGGCTTCCAAGTGCCCCCACCTCCCCTTCCAGTTCACCTTTGAGCATCCAGGCTGTGTCTGTGCTCTGCATCTCCCCAGTTCTCTTATTACATTGTGCTTTTCTCAAATCCTTCCTTCACTGCCTTCATAATAGACGGCCAGACTTTCTGGAATTCGTTAGCGTGAGCTGGAACCCTTTAAGGCTTCTAAATCTGCTGTACTGGGAGGCATGGGAAGGGAAGGGAGCCACTATTGACAAGGCTCCTAGGAAAATAAATGGTGGAGAACAAAAAAAGCAGATTAGGGTATTGGGGGATGCTTGCCTACAGGCAGGGCAGGGAGATGAAAACCATCCCATCAGCAAGTGAATGGGTTACATGTAATGGATAATGACCAGCCCTTTTCATCTTTCCTGCAGTGAGCTCAAGGCTCTTAATGAAAAGGAACAGGCACTGGTCTGGACTTACATAGCACCTGATGGATGCAGGGCAGCTCGGTGAGTCACCCAGGAGGTGAAACCATTGCTGCCAATGCTCCTTCCTTGGGTTCCTCCTACCATGAGGAGAAATTAGATAAATAAAAACCCTTCCTTCCCGAGGGAGCTGGTAGTCTGTGAGATGTAAAAGGGGAAATAGGGCAGCTGAGGAGGGTGAGTGACGGGCTGTGTTTCCCTTCCTCTTGGTATTGGTTTGCAGTGTCCCAATAGGATGTAGTGGAATATACAATGCAAACCTCTAACATCCACAAAGATTAAAACAAGGAATTCTCCCAGTCACCGGGCTGTTCAGTGATACTCTCCAGCTGGCAGCAACATTGGGAACTTGTTTTTCAAGACTTGAGTGATGAACTGCTGCTATGCAGACACTATTATCAGGGAAAGCATTGGGGTGGCTGGATGGTACCAGCATATCCAGAAAACAAAGATGTAATGATTCTGTTTGTGCTTAGCTCAGTAGAGCTTTCTTACACCAAAGAGATCTGGTTCAGGTCAGAAATGCAGAAAGATACATAACCTCTAGAAGAAGAGTTTGATCAATCTTACTCTGAAGTATTTAAGATGCTTGCTTTCCACCTCCCTTCACAAGCTGCCTGCTGTGTCCTCAATACAGGTGAGTGGGAGCTGATGCTTGAACAGGCAGAGCTGAGACCCAAGCACATTTTCTTCTTAGCTGTCATTTTGCCATGGAGGAGGATCCCAGAAGGACGTCAGGGCAAACAGAAGACCATGGCAGCAAGAGGAAATGTAAAAAACCCACCCCTTTTCCCTCTGAAGGTTAACATGGGAAAGAGTAAAAATCCCTCCTACACAGAAAGCAGCATCTGAGAGGGTATGACAGCACATCATATGTTGAATCTCTGTACAGAGCAATTCACTCCAAGGTATACATGTGAAATGCAAGACCTCTAATATAAGCAGTGGTGTAGATGGATCCATTTAAAGACTATTGCTTCAGTGGCTTTTTAGGGTATATTACTTTTTTTTTTTTTCTGGGGCATATTAAAAATGTAGAGGGTGCTATTCAAGCAGACCTCATCCAACAGGTATGACCTCAGTTCACTGAGTTTCCTGCTGCAGGGCCCAGCCTCTGAGCACTCAGTCCTGCAAACAGATGTGGCTCTTCAGCCTTTTCAGAGCCAGGTTCTGGCTGCAGCTGATCTCTGGTACCTCAGAAGAGAAATGGGCTGTGCAGATGTGGCTGCAAGATGGGTGCTACTATGTGTTGCCTATGGGAAGCCTTGGCTTCAGCCTATGAATGTGACTTTCTCCCAGCCTCTGACTTGACATTTCACAGATGAAGTATTAGCTGCTAAGAAATTTAAGGGATTTCACAAAAATGTGCGTTGGATTCTGTTCCTTGCTCTGTTACTCTGTGATCAATGTCCATTAGAAGAGAGAGCAAAATAATGTTTCATTGCCTGTGAGCATCAGTAAGATTACATTAGCACTGTACATCTTTCCAAGGATGCTGTTTTTAGCCATTACTAGGCTGAAGCTGGCCTCATTAGAGCCGGTCTGTTTGCCTCTGTGGCTGCTTGCTCTCTGTACCACAAAGAGGGTCTGGAATGGGCTAAGCCAGTTTTAGAGGAATTATAGCAGTGAAAAAAGTAATTATAAAACCGATGGTACAGATTTGATTGCAACTTGATGGAGCTGCAGAAACTGTGTGACTCATCTTAAATAGAATATATATGTATTACAGTTATAAATAGCTTTCACCACACCCTCCCCCCCACCCCGTTCCAATGGAATATTGAGAAATTGCTGTTTTTCTTAAAAATAACTTTGATGTTATACAGATACCTGGAGCTTGCAGTTGCATTGTTTGTTGTGAAAACACACCCTTTAGCAGCAACTTTCTGTCACAACAGTCATGCACGATGATTTTGCCAACACAGCATCAAGCATAGCCTCGCTACCCTGAGATTCTCAGTGAGACCAAGACAGCACACAGGATACACTGCAAGAGAGGATGGAATGAGATGGCCACTGGTAAAACAGCACAAATAGTGGATGTTCGGGATCAGGCAGAAGAAAGGAAAGAGGAGCCTCCTGAGTGAAGAAGTTAGGATGAAGCAATGGACATTCTGGTTTAGCTTCAGTGGATAAAATGGACTGGATCCAGGTTGCATCTTGATTGAAAAGGCTAATGTGAATTGAGCTCAATTCCTTGCCTGAAGAACATACTGCATACTTCCTAACCTGAAGAGCATACCTGAAAGGCATAGGGAACTTGGCCTGTTTGTTTCATGTAGGAGACAGTTCAGTGGTGATTCAGCTCCAGTTCTCAAGTTCTTTTATGGAGAAGAAAATTGTCCCATAAGAAGATGTTTCTTTAACCTTACTATAAAGGCAGAACAAGACTGAGAGACTGGAGGCTCAAGTTAGACTAATTCATGCTGTACATTTTTACAGCAGGTTCTTAATTGAGCCAGTGAAAGATTTTTCTCCCTCAGATGCAGTGGTCTGCCCACCATGGAACTGGTGGTCAAGATTTGTTTTGGTGCTTTGTGAGAGAGATGGTGTAGGTGCAATGCAGGAATGGAAAGATGGACATGTTAAAGGGGTAAGTGCAGACAAGTGATTCAATCCTTCCTCACCATAGCTTTCCCGTTTTCCTTCTGCTCAGCAGTGCAGTGATTTTTGCTATGCATTAATGGTGTGCAACATGAGTTTGTGTTGTAGTATCTCTAACCTTTTGCATGACAGAAGATGCTGAATCAGGCAGTCTGCCTCCCAGATCTTTGTCTCCTCCTACTTTAGCTTCATTGTTGTCAAAGGATTTTTGTCACTTTCACAGTGGAGTGGGATCAGAACCTGGAGACTGAGAACATGGGGTAAAAATGGTTGCAGCCATGGACTCGAGGAATCAGCACAGGGTTGTTCATGGTGTGTATGGAGCTGCTCCCCAGGCACGACTCAACCACTGGGTCCTTCTATGTGTAAGGGGCACTCCTCCTTCTGAAGACTGCAAAGACAAAGATTTAAATAAAAGATCTTAACTAGATTCAAACTTCTTACAAACTTCCAAAATACCGAACAAGGTGTACAAATTCCCATGTTTCCAAGGGGCAGTGCTTGGAGTCCAGTGGCTGGAATCTGTCCTGTTGGAACCATATTGTGAGCTTCAGCTACGTAAATTGGGAACATAGAAGTGATTTTTCTCCTAGGAAGTCATGTTCACAAGAGCATTCAGGGAGCTTCCTCCTTAGTTTTGCTGAAGCCAGTTGCAGTAGGTAGAAGAGTCTCATGCTGGTCTCACCTTTGCTTTTCCACAAAGGTTTTGAAAACAGGAGAAGGGGTCAGGGAAGAACTACGAACTGACTCAAGAGAAATTCCTGACAGCAAGAATATTGTGCATATTGACAATACAGCACTGAGGTATCATAGGACAAAACCACCTTAATATAGTGAAGGTCCCACATGCCTGAAGACCAGCTGTAAAAGGTCATATTAGAGGGTCTCACCAGAGGTGCCAGCTGCTGGGAGAGACTGACTGGAAGAGGTATCCCTAAAGCCAAAACTTCCCCTCAGAGACATGCCACTAGTTCTTCTAGCAGGTAGACGCAGCTGTCCTGTTTTGAGCGGGGAAATTGTCATGGAGAAGTATTTTTGCCTTCATATGAGTATATCTCCATGGTGCAAGCTGGTGACTTTTATAGCTACGATGAGTGACAAGCAACAGTGATCATCTGAGGCACTTCAGCATCACCATTAATCGTCATCACTGATTGCTCTTATGAAGCTTCAAGTGATTGGAGAAACTGCCCCAACGTTCATGAAAGGAGTTGAACCTCTTTAACCTACTGCTGGAAAATCTTGAAAACAAATATGTTGGTTAGTTTGGGAGGGGATGGGGTAAGTCAAATACTGTGTTAGTGAGTTTGGAAAAACATAGAAGGAAAGAAAAACGTAATTGTAGAGACAGCAAGAGAGATGAGAAAATGCAGAAGAGGTAAAACCCATAATAGCCGCTGAGTTGAAGTGAGTAAGAAATGTTGAATTCAGGTTTGTTGCCACCACTGGGACAAAGGATACCCTGTTCCCCAGAGAGGTACATGTTGCATCAGGATGAATGCTTGTGCCCAATCCCCATGCCTGAGTGCCATGTTTTGCTAGTGTCTGGCATGCAGAACGGCACCAGGGCCTGGGCTGTGCCTCTCTGAATGTCAACATATTTGTTTTAGAAAGTGATGGCAAGCTCCCAGTTGGATATCCTTTGGGAAGAAACCTTCCCGTGGGTAGAAGCTCCTCCTCCAGGAGGGTGTTCTGATTTTGCTTGCTTTGAAATGTTGGAAATAGTTGCTGGTTTTCCAAGGACACCTAGTTGTGCAAGAAGTTGCATGTCCCCACCTAGGCACACCCTGTGGCATTAGCCACAATGTGTCATGACAGAAATTGTTGTTTTCCAGAAAATCTTTAGTTCCTGAGGCCAAGTGTCTCTGTGGGAATGTATTATATTGAGTTAGAGGTTTCAGATCTGAAATCAGAATAAATGCTGAAGAGAGTGGGAGACTATGGGGGTTACTGACAACTCATCCAATGGCAGGGAGTAACTGGGTGGACCCAACTGCTGTTGAAGAACCTGTGATCTGGATGTAGAAGTGGCATCCAGACCCACTGGTGATTTGCCAGGTAGCATCTTTGTCACTTGTCATGCAGAGTTTCAGGAGCTTATGGATTTATGCTGAGGAAATGGTAATGAATGAAAATTCCTTTTTTTTTTTTTTTTTTCTTTTTTTAATCTCACACCTCTTATTCAGGGATATTTTTGCTATTTTAAAGAATTCACAATCTGACACACTGTTGGTCATTTTTATCTGGTAAAGTTTGCTGAATTTAGAGCAGCATGGTTCTCACTATTTTCAATCACCCACCACTTCTGTATCTGAAATTTGTACCTTCTCACAAAAGATACCTTATTTTCTGCTTTTCCCTGCCAAAACAGTCTTGCTCATTTATCCACAGTTGTCTTTTAAGAGGGTTACAGACCATAGGAGACTTTTGATCTCAGTACAACCCAGATGGGCCCATATTTTGCTACACCTCCTGTGGACCCTGTATCTTCCAATCTGCCATCTGTCCATCCGCCTCTATCAGGGATTTCGGTAGATGTAGTTGCCCACAGATTTTTTATTTCTAGTACGCAAATTAAAAACTATCCCCTGCTCATAAATGGGGCGAAATATGGGAAGGGATGTTGGCCTGGAGGAAGGTGCACAGAGCTCCAGGACAACAAACAGTAGAGGGGAACAGCAGGCTCCCCCCAGCTGTCATCTCCGAGGGAATGAAGGCAATGGGCTGACGAGAAGAACAGACATTGCATTTTCAGCAGAGTTAGCATTATCACAACACAGTACACCGTTTTCCATATTCCACTTAACTACTACCACTGGCAAATAAATGAATTGCATGCTATTAATGATCAGTAGAAATTCCTATTAAAGTCTTTCATATTATCAGAGGCCAATTCTCCCTTGCATAGTCACCCTTTGCTTTGATGACTTTGAAGTTGCGTTTCTGTTTCTATTGAAATTAAACTGAGCAAAGGCACTATTACAGTCACAGGCCTGTGTTTATTTTCATTGGGAATGCATTAAACCCTTCAAAGAAATAAAGTCTGCCCAAAAATCACTGAGTGATCATCAGAGCAATGCTCAAATAAGGTTGTGAAGTCACAAGGTGGAAATCCACACTCCTGGTAATGCTAATTAAGAGCAAAGGGAATGTCCATAAAATGTGCAGAACTGCACTACTTTAAGAGCCATGGAACCACACACATGGTGTCAGGGAGTTGGCACTGCTGATTTTGCTGGAGATTCAGCAATTTAAGTAACCTAATCAAGTGTCATAATTAATTGGAGGTTCATTTCCTTTCTTGGAAAACATTAAGGATAGTCATTGATTACTAAAAACAAATTAACACTCCCCACAGTGGCATGAGGGTGTTTCACCCCTTGCTGACACGAACCCATTGGCAGCGTGCATCTGGGGGACAGAGTGGCCAGCCATTCAGTCCTTAAAAAGGGGTGCAATGCCCTCACACATGGAAGGGAGCCCCACAGGGAGGATGATGGGGCTTTCATGGCAGCTTCACCATCCACTAGTGTGCTGCCCTTGACGCCAGAGCGGGATGTGTGTTGGGAAGCAGCGTTACTTCCTTCTTGGTGCAAAGGGCTGAGATGCTGGGACTTTATAATTCTGGCCAAGTAAATCCTTCCCTCTGAGGCTGGCAGTCCTCTCATCCCCTGCACAAGGGTCACAAGGAAGACTGATTCCTATCCTCAACTATATGCACTGCTGGGACCCTACAGTCCCTGCTGGGGATCCACTGCCCTGCTTGCAATGGAGACAGGAGAGGCTGAGCCTGTGAGGTCAGTCCAGCCCCACATTATCAACATTCAGCTGTGTAGAGGTGTTTGCGTTTATTTGTAACAAGGATGTCCAAAGACAGAGGTGCCCAGGTGTGCTTCTTGCACAGGCGGTGGGCACTGCTGGTGTGAACTCACCTCTTGCTCCTTCCTCCCAGTGACACTCGCCAAAATGCACATCTAAAGCTGGGCAACAAACACTCTCTGTGGAAGAGCACAGTGCCAGCAAAGGGGATCACCATTGCAATGCTTTATCCAGATCACAGACAAGTTCGGTTGTGTCAAACACCTATTTCACATGTAGAGAGCAAAGTATTACTTCTTTAATGTGTTTTGAAAATACCATTTCTTAGATTAGCCCATCCAAGAGATATCACTGTCTCTTAATGTTTGGTAAAAAGAATATCTCAAACCAGAGGAAAAGGTTTTGCAATTTTATTTTAAGAAGTACTTGGAAAATAGTCAGTTTTATTTTTGAATGAAATTTAAGCAGTGTTAAAAATCTGCAATTCTTGTGAATCAGAATTTCTGACCTCCAAAAATACAATATGATCTCCAGTGAGCAGATTTTTGTGGGATCTGCAGAAGTACTTTCACCAGGTAGTTCTACTATTGTGCCAGCTTAGTGTAATCATTATAATCAGCCAAACCAGTTACAGAATAACAACCAAGTATACACATAATATTCTAGGTATGTATTAGGGATGTTCTGCTAAAATTGGTAAAAGTCCTTTAATGGGAAGAAAAGCCTTCATCACTATTTTTTTGTGTGCATCATTTGAGTGAAGACTTAAATACAGTAGCATTTATATTTTTCACCTTGGAAAATATTTGTGCTTTAAAATAACACATTAAAGCTTTGAGCTGAAAACACTAATGCACAAGAGTGACTTTATTTATACATTAGGAATATTTTAGTCAAATGGTCTAATGTTTGCAGAACCAGATTCTGAAATATAATGTACTATTTTATGTTGTACCACTACTGGTGCAAAAATTAATGGATGCTTTATTTAAATCGGGCATTTAGAGAGAAGCTTTGTAGCTTGGCTGTTTTGTGCTATCATACTGTTGGAAGAAACAAGTAATAAAATATGAGGGAATGAGAATTGAAAATAGAGGGAATGAAATGAACACATGTGAAATGTTCAAGATGTGAGGCACACCTGCTTCCGCCTGAAATGTCCCAGATTCAGAGAAAAGGCAATTTGCAACCTTCCCTCTGACCTAGGATTTAGTAAAACTCTTGATCCGTCTTTTCACATCTGAAAAATCCTTTCATCATTTTGGTCTGCATCAACCCCAGAGGTTAAATTTTCCCTTTCAGCTCCGATTATCACAGATGTGGCGCTGTATGAGTGGAGACCCCAGTTTTATCCAGGACTGCCCTCTGCATTCAAACTCAAATGCCTTTTCTTCCAAAGCTCACACAGACCAATTTGTTTAATGCTCTGGACATTAAGTATAGTTTTGCAGAGAGCACGTGGGACTTTGCTGAAGCCAGCTCACTTTTAACTGGAAGAGTGAACAGTCTGTCTCTCCAGCAGCAAGCTGTGCTTGTTCAGATGCTGGAAAGAAGAAGCTGAGATAGACAAGCAAGGCTACTAGAGGAAACCCAGATAATCCTACACACAGATATCCATGTTTGCTTCTGGTACTGATCCTTATTAGACCTTTTATTAAATATCTATATAGCTGGTGATAGGAAAATACACCACCTGCCTCCATCAATAACACTTCTTGACTCTTCTAAGATTAGATTTTGATCTCAAAGTTGTGGTAACCTTTTCATTCCTATTTCTGTCACCCTTGAGTAGCTGGTGTGGTTTTGATACCATCATGGTATCTACAGGAGAGGTCCCCAGGTAGAGACTGGACTTGTAGCACACTCCACTGGGTGCTGAGTTGAGTGAGCTGTAGCTCAGAGCCAATGCAGTGCTCTGTAGGTGGTTAAGCAGTTTCTGCCCTCATTACTGTAATTTACTGGTAGCAAAGCAAAACCTTTATTTAACAAAGAATCTCCAGTTAAAACACGTAGCTAAATAACTTTTATCCTGTCCTGTCACTTTATAGTCACAATCCACCATTTCATGCTTGAGCCACCAAGGTGTGGAGACCATCCCTCCTCACACAATCTGGCGGCAATACTCGGATGCTTCACTCAGAGGAGCATCAGGGACTTTCCGAAATTCAGCAGAGCTGGTTGTGTGGGAAAGCTAGGAGTGGAAATGCCATTGGGAATGAACTAATGACAGTCACAACCCTCTACCTAAAATAACGTCTCAGTTGCACAAATTGTGGTGTCACCACAACTATAACTCCTTTCCTGGCCTGAAGTCTTCACAAAGACATAGAGGGAAGAGAAAGATACCCCATGGATGGAATGTTTTGTGCTCACCAAAATGGGTTATTGCTTTCCCGAGTAAATGCAGTGTGGACTTGTTGAGAAACATGGATGATCTATTTCACCTTCTAAATGATGGGTGGTTCTCTACTGCATCATGAGCCACTGGAGCACAGCATCCCCCTGTGAAGACCTGACTATCTCCTTTTTTTCCCTGTTTTGTCTCTCTGCATCTTTCCAACTCTGCTTCCTGCTACAAACATTCTTGGGCAAAGCTTCATTATGCACTTTGTGGTTCATATGTACTCTTTGACAAACAGCTTTCAAAAATGGTATCTGCCTTTTCTTCCTAAATAGACCCTTTTACACAATAACTGCCATGCATTTCTGACTGTGAATATGTAAATAGGGGGAAAAGAAAATGCATCCACTGTCACACAGAATAACATTGCAGCCTTAAACTTCCGATTAATTCAGAATGATTTGCTAACATTTGGTCCTCCAAGTTGAAGTTCCAAAATTGCTTGTCTTGTGCAATTTTCAAACATTCCACTTGCACATAGTGAAGAAAAAATAGTTATCTCCAAGAGAGAGCAAACTCCATTTAGCATGTTTTGCAAAGTACTAAATAGGTTTCGTATTTCAGATGAAGAGCAAGGAATATGTCCTTTGTGCTGTACATACCAAGTACTTGCAATATTGTCTATTCCAGGTAGTTTAAAAGATACTATAACATTCATAATTACTGTGATTATTTCTCAAAACCACAACCTTTGTATGATCCATGAGCTCAATGGGTAAAAATTTAATTTCTGTTGTGTTTAATTTCTTGAAGAAATGAAATAACTTCCATTAAAATTCCTTTGAAAGACTAAAGCTTTCTATTGTTTGTTTGCAGAATACAATTGCAACTATAAGGTGCTTAGGATATCATTCAACAAAAAAGCTGAATAGCTAGCTGTAGTCAATTATCCTTATCTTAGGACTGGTACTACCTTCTGTACTCTGGGCCTTCTGTTACATCAGAGTTTTTTATAGACATACGAAACTATTTTTCCATATGTAAAGACATTTGCAGAGTGTACTTTGTAAAGCAGAACTGCTATTTAATCTAACAGGTGAAGGGTGACTCCCAGTAAAGTCTAGTTGTACAACAGTCCTGTTTTCACAAAGAAAATCTAATTTATACAAATGCAAACCTGAACTACAGAGGATGGTAAAGGAAAGGCCCAGTAAGCCTTGTGCAGCTGAGTCCAGTCTCAGTGGGGGGCTGAAACTCTACAATGATTATTTATTTATTGATAAATATTTTGTCTGAGCCAAGGACTGTCCTTACAGTTTGTAGAAAACTTGCCCATGAAATGGGTGGCTGCAGAGTATATACACCATTTTGGTTTATACTATATTCTTCCAAGAATATTATTGCTTAATCGTTGGGTTTTGTTAATAACTATGCTTTTATGAGAAGGAACCATAGTTTCTCATGATGGTTGAGAATTCAGAAACCTTTGAGGTCACTTTGCATTAGGTAATCTTCCCAAATAAACATGCTTCCTAAAAACATCTAAATTATTCCCATGCCCTTTAAATTGTTTAAATCAAACAAATTTTCCCTTAAAACAATTTAAGGCTTTACACCAAATTTTTGCTAATTGATTTGCCATTAAATTGTATGTGATGCAGCCTGAAGCTGGATATCCAGCTTGGAGCTGGACATGAAGAATTATGTGGGTTTTTCTGTAGACTTGATATGTTGGATCCAGATCAAAACACATAGTCAGGACAACTGACAATGGAAAATAAGAACTTTTCTATGGCAGAAGGAAAGCAGTCTTTTGAACGGGGGATGC